AAACAAACTATGGCATACACGTACAATGGAGTATTAGCCTTAAAGAGGAATGAAATTCTGACACATGCTACAATACGGATGAACCTTGAAGACATTACAGTTTGTGAAATAAGCCCAACATAAGAGGACAAATACTGTATGATTACACTGATTTGAGGTCCCTAGAACAGTCAAATTCACAGCAACAGAAAGTACGAAGGTGGTCGCCAGCGGCTGGGGTGGGGGTGGGGGAGATGAGGAATTAGTGCCTAGTAGCTACAGAGGTTCAGTTTGGCATGGCAAAAAAGTTCTGGGGATGGATGGTGGCGTGAACGTACTGAATGTCACTAACTGTACACTTAAAAATGGTTAAAGTGTACATTTTATGTTATGTATATTTAAAAAAATAAAAGCTACCTCGGGAAGAAAAGTTCAAGTAGACACAGAGATTAATCAAGGCCAGCAAACAAAAGCCCCCCAGGAGAAAAGTGAGACCCCGCACTGAGGACCCCAGGCCCACCGTGGCAGGTGCAGCAAGCACTTAAGGCAGAAGGCATCCGCTGCTGAAGGCCAGGTACTCCGGCCCGTATGATCCGATGTAACCAAAGGGGGGCTGTAATGCAACTAAAGGTGCATTTCCACAAACATAAATGGGATACGGTTATTTTGAATTTTGAAAAAATGATTAGAACATCATTTTACAAAAACTCATTTATGTGGGGCGCCTGGGTGGCTCAGATGGTTAAGCGTCTGCCTTCGGCTCAGGTCATGATCCCGGAGTCCTGGGATCGAGTCCCGCATCGGGCTCCCTGCTCTGCGGGAAGTCTGCTTCTCCCTCTGCCTCTCTCTCTCTCTCTCATGAATAAATAAATAAAATCTTTAAAAAAAAAAAAAAACTCATTTATGTGTACCATGGATGCACCAAAAGGAGAATCACAACCCGAGTCCAATCCGATTAGATTCACAGATGAGACTGGAGGCAAACAGCCACACGACTGCTCTCACTTCGCATTCATGAGCGCTAGCTCCACGCACACCCCCCACCCCCGGGCTTCCCCACTTCCCCAGTCCACCCACTAATCGTCCTTCCCAGGCGAATATGCTCCCCTCATCCCTCGGCTTCCTCTTTCACTAAGATAACACCGAACTTAGAAAGGGACGCTGCCGTTCCGGCCTCTGCCCACCCATCCACACGTGCCCCCCATCAGCACCCCGTCGAAGGCCGGCCCCTCTGTTGGTGCCCCGGACCCCGAGCACTTTCGCCTCCTCTCAGCCACCAAGAAGCAGACGTCCCCTCCTCAAATCTTCAAAACTCCCCTCTACTGAATCGTTTCTATCAGCACAAAACACTGCTATTTTCTCCCCCGAAGGAAATAAAACTTCTGTCCCAGAGCAACGGTCCCATGTCTCTGTTCCCCCACACGACAACCCTTGAAAGAGCTGCCCAGACTCCATACCTCCTTGCCGCCCCCTGAGCTGCCCCCACTGCCACCCAAAACGTTCTGTCAGGGTGACCCTGATTTCTATGTTGCCAAAACCAGTGGTCACCTTCGGCTCACCACCAGCATCTGGTGCAGTTATCACTCCTTCCTTCTGGCTCCCAGAACAGCACATTCTCCTGGTGTTTCTCTTCTCATGCTGTAGTGAATTCCTCCTGAATGTCCTATGCCAGTTCCTCCCCAACCTCTAGACACTGGTGCTCCCCACGCACCTGGACCTCTTCTCTGTCTACACTGGCTCCTTGGGTGTTCTCGTCCAGCATCATGGCTTTAAATACCACCACTATGCTATGACCCCCATATTCGTATTTCCAACCCACACTTCTCCCTGAACTCCAGACTCAAAGGCAAATGTTGGCTCACCAACTCCACCAGGATAGCTAACGGGTGCCCCGCACTTAACCTACCCGAAGCAGAACTGCCCATCTTTACTCCAAAACCTTCTCCGACTCCAGTCTTTCTCACCTCAGTTAAAGGCAACTCCCATCTGTCCACCTTCTCCAAAAGCTAAATGGCCTCTGAGTTCTCTCTTGTTCTCACAGCCCACATCCAGACCCATCAGCAAATCCTGCTGGCCACACCATCAAAATACATCCAAAGTTCTAACTCACTGCATCCATGGCTGTACGCCGTGCAAGCCTAGAAGCTGGTCTCTGCGGCTCTGCCCTTGCCCCCCGTCGTGCTCTCTCAACACCAGGGCCCAGTGAACTTTCTAAAACTCAACCCAGAGCTGAGCACTCCCCAGCTCAAACCCTCTAATAAGAGCCACACCCTTAAAATAGCCCAGGGAGGGAGTCCTATGTAACTGTCCCCACTTCCCTCTTTCCCTCTCAAAGTTCGGGTCCTATTATTCTTCCCTTGGTGCTTCCTAACTGTTCCCCAAACAGCGAGCTCTCCCACGGGCCCCTCCTCACTCGCCTCCCCTACATGTGCACAGGGCTCCGTCCCTCAACAGTTAAAGTCTCTGCTTAACCGACTGTTGCCTTCACTCACAGCTAGGTCTTCCTCGACCAATCAACTACACCCGTAACCCTCCACCTCTACCCCAGCACACCCCGTCTTCCATTCCCTACCTTATTTTCCCCCAATACCTACCCAACTACCATATATTGTATATGGTCACTGCTTGCTACCCCCCTGCCCACCACACACCAGACCCCCAATACAAGCGATCTCGACAAGGGCAGGGATTTTTGCTCTTTTTCCACACTGACACCCTAGCGCTCACAACAATGCATACAGATCATCAATACATATGTGCTGAATGAGTTCCCCAACATCAGTTCAAAGGCTTTCCACAGTCGCCCCCCATTAAGATTTAAATAACTTCAAACCTTGAGGATCAGCACAGTAACCACTGCAGGTTAAGGGGAAGAGAAGGGGAAAAGACATCTCGCCAGACACTGCACACCGAGCCCCTTCCTCCCCAGCTTTTCTCCCCACGTGCCGTTCCAAGCGCTAGCAGGTTAAAAAAAAAAAAAAGAACAGGAAGGGAAAAAAGGAGGACAAATGGCAACGACAGCAGGTGTACTCGCTCAGACGTAGGAATGACAGATGTTGAAGCTGTTATGGGTACACGGGGATTTATGACATCTCCATTTTTCTAGATATTTAAGGATTTCCATAATAAAATACTGAAAATTAAAATAAAAAAATTTTAAACACAACAAGGCAAAGTTGCTCCAAACAGCAGGATACTGCCAAACCTCAATCCCACCTGCTCACAGGAAGCATTCCTGGGTATTTCTGACTTTACCATTACCTCTGCATTGCCCCTGGTACTGGTAATTAACTCCCAGACGGCCTTCTCGTTTATAAAATGGAAATAAGTATTTTCTATTTTCCTCTTCTCTCATAAAAGAAATCTTTCAGGATTAAGATCTGTTTACAGGTAATGAAGCTTGATATGGTTTATCAGTCATATGGACGCCAATGGCTAATATAATTAAACAGGTATTTCCTTGGCTCTTACTTGGTGACATAAAAAAGATCTGCATGAGGTGCTATAGGAACTCTTAAGTTCTGCTGCTGCTAAGAACATAAAATGTGTACACATTCTGGAATGGAAAACTGGAAAAACAAGTTTCATTATCTTATAAAGCTGAATACACACAGGCCCTGGGAACCAATACACATACTGGAGAGACGCACACCCAGGCCCAGAAGACATGAAGACAAGTGGTCGTGGCAGCTACATCACGGTAATGAATCACAATCCAAAGTCTAGCACTGGGAAAATGCATAAACTGAGCTGTCTTCATACAAAGGAAGATTATACAACAGGGAAAATAATGAAGTCTAAGAAAGGACGTGCATGAATCTTACAAACACGTGACGTGAAAAAAGTTACAGAAGACTTCCCACAGTGAAGCAACATTTCTACAGAGCTCAGAAGCAGGAAATCAAGACACTACGGTGTTGAGGGATATCTACAGATGACGTAAAACCACTTTCAAAGTGCATGGAAGTGATAAAGACAAAAGCCAAAATAAGGAAGCAAAAGGGGGGCTTGAGGAGTAACAGGTACATTCATTCTTAGGTTGAGTAGTAAGTTCACGGGTGTTTGATTATTTGGCATCATAACATATATAACCATCACACACTCGTGTGTGTGTTTGTGTGTGTGTCAGATACCACAATTTTCCGAAGGGCACCAGTGACCCAGTCCTGCTCTTGAAACCACTAACCCTATTAAAAAGTCAAAACATGTCAAATGAACCCAAATTTATATCCTTAAGGAGACAAAAACCTTATAAAAAGTTACTGTTAATGTGTACAGCATTTGGTTTCACTACCATTATTAAAAATATCAGAATCCAGAAACTAGCTTTAAAATTTCATAAGCATATATTAAAATCTAATCCCATCAATGTTATCCTATGATTCCCTAGGATTCTCAAGTAGCAGATTTCTAAAATTCCAAGTGAAACTGGTGGGAAAGGATTGGGAATCAAGGCTCTTCAATAAATAGTGTCTCTAGTGTCTGTGGTCTTCAGCTACCGTCTTGCATGCATCTTTGTTTAAGGAGACAACAAAGAGCTCAACGCTTCTACTACCACTATACTTTCTGTATGAAGCATATTCTACTTAAAAGGTGCTCAGAGACGAATGTATCTGAAAACAAGTTATTATGAAATTACTACCATTCTTGTGCTTTAGCTTAATCTCTGCAACATCTAGCAGAGTGGCCATTAGAAATGGATCTTGCTTAAACATATATGAAACAGGGATCATTTTCATGTCTGGAAATTAATGAGTGAGCAAAAAAACACAAATAAAAGCAAATAAAATCACATTTCAAAACAACGGTAACCAGCAAATGTAAATGCTATGACGTCAGCTCCATGAGGGCTGAGGGTCTGCACCTTCGCCAGGGCATCCCCAGCACCACCAGGGGATACTCGGTTCATATCTGCTGAAGGCATGAGGTGATCCTTTTATTTAAAAGGTCAGGAATTTCCTCTCATTCTAACCACCAACCATATACCAAGCAAGACACCAACAGAAACTATGTATCCTCACCATCTTGGGCACTGGAACCTTTCAACATGCAAGTGTGCAATAACTTCAACAGGACCTGGAGGCATCTGTCAGTTTCCAGCAAGGGCATGTAGGCATTTGTACCAAACTTCATAAGGGATTCCAGAAGAGGATCTAAGAATATCCTTAATACATTCTGTGTTCTCCGCTTTTCACTAGATATTAAAAGACATGCCCAAATCAAGCATTTCAAAAGCATGAAGAAATTATTTTCCATCTATAACTTGTGGAACTGGTTAGCTACTGGATTCGATGAGGTAGAATTAGTCTCATGGATGATCCGGACACCTATGCACCTCCTGGGACTGATCCCCTCCAGCCTCCTCGCTGATCTCTCAGTCTATGCTTTCTCAGTAAATTCTCCGTGCGCTCGCAAAGAAAAGCACAGGGAAAAACATACCGCACTCGACTCTAGGCACAAGTAGGAAGGAGATCCTATACCCACTTTATTTGTAAATTAAAATGCTGAGACCCTGCTACAATAATTCAAAAAACAAAACAAAACATACACTAGTCACAGAAACAATACATTAACAAAAAATACAAAGAATTAAGGGTTTATAAAAAACCATCATAACCAACTTTCATACTAAAACTTTGTCTGCAAAAAAGATTCGATGTTAAATTAACTGTGTATCATGCAAATACACTAGCAAACGGAACTGCTTTTTGCAGTAATTATAATCTGGTGAGAACCGATTTGTGCACATACTCAAAAAAAATGAGTTTTATCTTTATTACACTTAAAAAAAATTACACATTTTACAAAGGGGTCAAACCCTGTAAATTTCTTTACCTAATCTTATGCTAGAATCTTACAACCTATTCTCTTATAAAACCAGTGATTAATATATATAGTTTTTCCGACCTTCTCTAACAGTTAAACTTACCTAAAAAGACTAACAAGCCCCTATTCCTATCAATTTATTGTTAATTTTAAACATTTCTCTAGCATACACACTGTGATCAATTCCATACCTTTACACCTGACTCAATCACGGAAAAGTGTGAATAGGCACCATAAATCTGATTAGCCTTTTTTTAAGATTTCTTTGCAAGTTGGGAAACACTTACCTGTACTGAGTCTTCATTCCTTCCACATCTACGGCCAGCAAGACCATCATTGCCACAAGCTTGGCTTCAAACCAGTCAGGCATAAGGCAGTCTTCTCCCGCTTAAATAACAAGAGTTGAGGTTTGCAAAGCATTAACAAAATCCTTCAAAGGTGATGTTTCAAGAAGAAAACAGCCAAATGATTACACTTTATCAATATAAAATTATAAGCACGGAGATGAAATGGAGATGAAATGCAGAAGAACACTCCTGGGCATAGCTCACTGCTACGATGACTGCGGTAGTGAGTGGTATAAAATGGCACCATGCCCTCATCTGTCTGGGGAATAGGAGAAAATCCCCCGAGGAATGAGCATGAAGGCTGGGAAAGAGTACAGTAGGTGAAGGGAGGCAAGGCTTCCCCAAGGAAGGCAGAGCATGCCGAAGGTCCTCTGGAGGACAGAGCGTGCCACATTCCAGGGGATGGATGGATGCCCGTGCAGCAGGGCACGTGAGTGGGAGGGAGTGCCAAAGCTGAGGTGACACAGACAGCCAGGGAAGAGACCAGAGGACTTAGTGGGCCATGCAAAGAATTCCGTGACCCTAAAGCCTAGGGGAAGCCACTTTAGGTTAAAGTGAAGGCGTAGAAAGAAAGGGAGGAAACATTTGTAGATCCAAATTAGTAGTTTAAAAAGACTTCTTCAGGTACAATGTGGAAGGGAGACTGTAGGGGAAGCAAGAGGAGATTCAAGGTGACAGGTTAAGAGGCAATTGTAGTTATTTCAGCTGAGAGGAGAAAATTGCCTAAAATATAAGCAGGAGGAGGATGGAATGGGTACGGACCCAAAGGCTCTGGAGCCTCAGACCCGTGTCTGAGCCCCAGTCCTGTGCGCCTTAGCTGTGGGACCCTGAGACAACTGCTTGTCCTCGCAGAAAGATTAGGTCTACTCTGAAACTAACATAACGGTACGTGTCAACTACACTCAAAAAAATAAAACAAAACAGAACAAAAACCTAAAAAAAAAAAAGAAAGTTTAGGTCATCTATGAAATCAAACTAACCTATGACTCTCCTTGGGTTTCTTATAAAAATTAAATTTACTCAAAGTTTCTAGAATTAGTTTTGGAAGACAGAACATAGTTAACAGATAAAATATTTTCCCATCTCTAAAAGCCAATTCAACAAAAATAAGCCATGAACAGATTTCTTTTTCATTCATGGTGTATTATTATAGCAAGATCACACTTTTCATCTCAATTCCCACGAAAAATTTAGGTAAGAGATCTAGTTTTCCAGCCCAGTAGTTTAAGTTAACTTAAACCAATTTTCTTAAATGCTCTAATATATTTTGGGGGTAATTTAATATATTTTAACATAAATTTACTGGAATAGAACAGAAGACAGCAGTAAAAACATACTTGCATGTAGGACAACTCAGTTAAAAAATACAATAAAAGGATAAACTTTGTTATATATTATTTTTAAAAATGCTATAGAGGCCACTTAGTTGCCATCAGTAAAAAATCCGCTATTTTTTTTTTAAAATCCCAGTGTCGGTGCTATCCCGGAAAATGGAGTAGGCTAAATTTGTAAACGTCGTAAAGACGAGTTACTGAAACTTGTTCTTGGAAACATTTTCCTCACATTACTACTTTCTACCCCACTGAGGTCCTTCCTAAGCACAGACTGAAATGAAGTCACTCAGGACGGTCCTGGAGGCAGACCCCCCGGACCTCACGGGAACTGGGGTGGGGGCGCTACTCCAGCAGCAGCGGCGCCTGCGCATCTCGTGCGCTCAGGCGCGCGAGCGGAAAGCCCTGGCCTGCGACAGGACATGTGGGGGAGTGACCAGCACACGCGGCGCTCCTCACTTCCTTCGGCGAAATACAGCAGGGTTCTAGAACCACAGATCCTGCTTGAAATCCCAGGCAACTGTTCACCTTGGATACCAAAAGGGAAGGTTATAAATCAGAAGTGTAGTGGATTTTATTTTTTCGAAAATTTTATTTATCATCTGACAGACACAGCGAGAGAGGGAACACAAGCAGGGGAAGTGGGAGAGGGAGAAGCAGGCTTCCCGCCGAGGAGGGAGCCCGATGTGGGGCTTGATCCCAGGACCCTGGGATCATGACCTGAGCGGAAGGCAGACGCCCAACGACTGAGCCACCCAGGCACCCTGTAGCGGGTTTTTAATGACTTCTGATGTCGAGGAATGCCACCGTACCAGACCAGTAACGACAGAGCGCCTTGCTCTTCCAGTGCAAGCCACTGGCAGGTCTGTCTACTACAGGTGCTCTCCAAGTACCTGGCCACCAGCGAAGCAAATCCATGCTACAGAGGGGCAGCTCTGAAACTCCAGCCTGGTGTAGAATCACCTGGAGGCTTTGTCAATACAGAGGGTAAACCCCCACCCAGAGTTTGATTCAATAGGCTTGGGACAGAGCTGGAGAATTTGTTTTTCTAGAGCTTCCAGGTGATGTTGGTATTGCTGGTCTGGAAACCATACTCTGCAAACCACTGAGGGAGAATTCCCCTTTTCACTCACTGAAGCCAGAAAAGTGGAGGCAACAATGGTTTTAAAGAAACAAAAGAATCATTGGCTATTACTAATCACCTTAATGCATTTTAGCGTCAAATCTTGCTACCATGAATTTTAAACAGTGAGTGTAATTCTAGAAAATGCAAGCTAGGCTGCAGTGTTGGAGAGCATACTAGGCTTGTCCAGGGCACGGAAGAGAGAAAGGTGAAGTGGAGGGGAAGGATTAAAAAGAGGTATGAAAACACTTTTGAGCCTGACAGATAAACGCGTTACCTTGCTATGCTGGTGGGTTTCCTATAGACGTAGGTCCAAACCCACCACACATATAGCTTAAATATATACAGTGTGATGTAAGTCAATCATACCTCAACGCTGTTTTTAAAATTTGTTGTACAACTGCAATATACTACTTCGGGGCTATTCCATGTCTCTAGATTTCTTGGTTACGTTTTAAGTAGGTACATCATTTAACTACAAAATCTTGACACCAAATATCCTTTCCGAGGGACTGCTTAAGTATACATTTCTTCAAATATATCTTCCTCTCTGATTAATCTTAGCACGTCCAAGGTCTGACAAGCCTTCTGTGCTACTTCCAAACTATGTTTCACTTTCTGTGATTCAGAACGCCTGCCCTGAAAGCTCTTCAGCATTTGTTTGTTTATAGGTGATGCTGGTTTTGAGTGACTTTTGCCGCTATTGCTTTGTTTTGTTGTCTTGTGTACCATGTGTCCAACACGGTGTGCATACGTACGTGTATGTGTATTACCCCATATCCACCCTTACCGCCTACCATTCCTTCTTGGGCTCCATGCCACAGACAGACAGATACATAAATACACAGACAGACGCCTACCTACTTTCAGCTCCCTGGATGCAAGTTCATCCAAGCCTTGTGGGATATTCCTTTCTACTTTTCACCTTCATTTCTGCCCACTGGTCAGATGTCACCCATCTGGTAACCTCCCACTACTGGTCTACCCGTTCCAAGTAGGTACTGCTTTCACAGGTTCCCCAGCCTGGTGTTGACTATGTCTTTCAAGGCACTGTGCTGGGATTATCTGCTTACCTATCAACTTCCTTGCTAGATGATGCTCTGAGAGCAGGGGATACAGCTTTTATCTCTGTGACTCCAATGCCCGGCTCTTAGAAAACACTCGATATATGCCTGCTGAATCAACAGTGCAAAATCTATCTGTACTAACTATGCCAAAACTCAAAGAAAAAGCTACTTTAGATGTAGAACCTGATTGAAAATAGTGTTTTGGCCGATAAGTTCTTATATAAAAACAAAATTGAATAGTACATGTATTTTATGCTCAGAAACTCAAGCTAAATTTTGTTTGCTTTGGAATTTAACTTGCTCTGAAAACTACCCCAGTAATTGCTAATTAAACTTTATAAAGGCACTCAGCCAAGTGCATTAAAAGTCAAACAAAAATATTAAAATACACACAAATGCCTCCCCTTTGCACTTGAAATCAAGTTTTAAGTTTTTAAAAAACTTAAAATAGCCTATTATATTAAACGGTATATTTAAGTCCTAGAAATATTAAAGAAAGATGCTAAAAATATTGTTTCAACTGATTCTGAATATTTACTCAGATCTGATGCTGTTTTTTACTCTGAATTATAAAACAAGTTCTGAAGACATTTTAGGGACTTTAATGTATGTTTACTCTAGTAGGGACAAAACTTTTACTTTTATAGCCCTAACAAAAGAATCCTCCAAGTAACAACACAGAGAATTTACTAGACAGAGGGAGAATGAAACACGAAAGAGAAATGTTCTAAGAAGGAAAAACAGATAAACTCATGTATTTCGGAAGGATAATTATCTGATCAATTAAAACCTATTCCATGATCAGATTAATCAGTACATGAAAATGACTTGGTCTGAGACAAAGCCAGGAAATTTCAGACACGTTAAATTCAAAGATGCAATTTACCCAAATTATCAACTAAGGACTTTAATGAAGAAGAAGCATTAGCAATGTAAAAAGAATCCTAATTAATGAATCTGCTAATAGTTCTTCCCTCAATGCAGTCTTACACATTTCCCTAAAGAAGCTGGAAAATGGATCTTGACTAAGTATCTGGTAAAAAGAAAAAACTAACAAAACCATCCTTTCAAACATAATTTTTCTCTAAAACTATGTTTCACAATCAGTTCATACTACATGTTTTGAAAACAAACACACAAAAGATGCACAGATTTATCTACAAATATTTCCACTTGCAGAGGCTTTAAAAACACATCTGCGGTATCTAGCCTGCGAAGATTCAATGATTGTAGAATAAATTTGTTTCTGTCCAATTCCTACTCTGGCAACTTACTAGTTTCTTAAAACATACAAAAATAGTTTAAAATCTCAAGTCCTAGACCAGATAAAGTACAAGTTAGGAAACATATTTTTACATTCCCTTTATTCACATTATTTGGCTGAAAATACGAGTTTGATATCAGTAAATTGGCACACGTTTGGTTAAGCTTATATCTGGACTGGAGAAACTACTTAAAAGTTCTTTGAAAAGAATTTGGTGATATCAATCCATATAAATGATTTCAGACTTACTTACTTTCCCAAGCAGGTGACTTAATATACTCTTGAACTAGGTTCTTCACGTAAGCATTTAAAAAGGATGTCTCAGGAAGTCCAATGGAGATAGAAGCTGAGGCTCGCCTAAAACAGCTTTCATTAACACGCAACCAATCACAGAGCTAGGAAAGAAAATAGTTATTACTTTATCTTAAAAACCTAACTGAGCAAAGGGTTTCTAATTTCCCTAAGTCAATTTTCTTTCTTCCACGATAAAGTGAATTTAAATATCTGAACGCAACAGGGGCGCCTGGGTGGCTCAGTCACTTAAGCATCTGATTTCGGCTCAGGTCATGGTCTCAGAGTCCTGGAATCGAGCCTGGGGTTGGGCTCCCAGCACAGCATGGAGTGTGCTTGTCCTTCTGCGCCCCCACCGCCCCCCCCGCTCATGTCCTCTCTTTCTCAAATAAATAAAATCTTTAAAAAAAAATCTGAACACAACAAAGTAATAGAACATTTAGGCATGACTGAGTTCTACAGACAGTGCAGATAGAAAAAAATGTGTATCCATATATATACGTGTGTGTGTGTATCTACACACGAATGTATAAACTTCATTTATAGGCAAGAATTTTTAAAGTACCTAATATATAGTGCACATTTTAATAAGGTTTTCTAAAGAACATCTCTGTGAAAATTGACACATTAGGTAAACCAAATTACAACCCTAAATTAAATTAAAATTCATTTCTGCTTCCCATACTAAAACAAGGATATGTCTGCTTTTGTATTAATTATAATTAAAGTTCCTACCCTCCTCACAAGTCTACTTTCTATCATATGTGCATTTTAAAATATATTAACTAAAAAGAGAAATACTAGTCATTCTCTGTTGCAACTTTTAGAAGATTTGCAAAACTAAAAGTTCCAAAATTCATCTTTGGTCACATGTAATTGTGAATTTTGTTTTGAAACTGAATTACGTTCTCAGTTTTCTTTTCATAGCATATCTCTTACTGTACAAATTCAACATATGAATTTAAATACGAAGTAAATAATTATGAATAAGTCTTTCTAAAAAGAATTTTTAAAAAAGTATTCCTTGCATTAGGGTTAACCAAAATTACATATAAGGAGACAATAATACATCACTTGACCAAAGACAAACTTGATGAACAAATGAATCAGTCAAGATTAACTGACATCCCATCAGTGCCAATGAATGAGCAGTTCAATAACACTAAAGAAGTTGCTCTGTGTAGGTCTTTATCAAGTTGGATCATCATAAAATCTAACTGTAAGGTCAGCCAGGATACTGATCTTTCGACAGGATATACTTTTTCTTTATATTTCTCTCAAACTGGCCAGACTAAGTTTCTGAACTATTGCTATAAGATGTGTGAGGTTTGGGTGCCTGGGTGGCTCAGCTGGTTAAGCGACTGCCTTCGGCTCAGGTCATGATCCCGGAGTTCCGGGATCGAGTCCCGCATCGGGCTCCCTGCTCAGCGGGGGTCTGCTTCTCCCTCTGACCCTCTTCCCTCTCGTGCTCTCTGTCTCTCATTCTCTCTCTCAAATAAATAAATAAAA